ATTTTTTTAATTGTGTTCGTAATTATTAGAAGGTGAATTGAAATGTTTAACTAAAAGAAATCTGTATTTATTTTATAAAAGATTAAAAGCTTATGAAAAGTAATTTTCATTCATGTGTAATGCTATTGAGAGTTTTAAACTATTATATTGCCTTAATAGGTGTATACAACACACTATGAATAAAGTGTATTAGCACAAGTGATCTTTATATAGCTTTGTTAGTTAAGACTCTTAAGAACCTTGAATTGATCATGCTTCAAAATTGCTAATTAATAGCATTGATAAGAAGCAAATGATTAAGAGGGATACCCTGTTAATTCCCCAAATAAACAAAATTTGTTTATCTAGGGGTATAATCGTCTTTTTAAGTACAAGTAGAGGGGTATATGCGTCTTTTCATGTACTAGTTAAGGGGTACATGTGTAATTTCCTCACCAAACAGTAAAAGCAAAAGGCAAACAGTAATTGGACAGCTCACCAAAAGTACTGAATAAATGACCCTACTTTTTCAATATATTTACAAAAATGCCATCAGAGTAACAAAAATTCGTTTATCTAGCATATTAACTTGTATTTTTCCAATGATTAATAAAATCTGCGTTTTGACATTTTATACATGTTATTATATTAAGATACTATTTCGTTCATAATTCACCTTATTTTCATTGATTTCAAATTTAATTAAAGCTACTATTTTAGAATAGTTATGAAAAAATAAAGGTCCATCCATTAAGGCTATCCCAAGTACAATTAGCTAAAGTAATTTCTATTAAGTTCATCTACAAGTTCAACCATGTAAAAATTAGATGACTAAAATACAACTTTTATTCAACAGTATAATGTTATAGTTTATTAGTCTATTGGATAAAAGATATACTTCATTTGAAAAGTGTTCTACCTATTCAATTTGTCAATAATACATTGTAATAATCTCACTAATACTTTGTAATTATCTAAATGCAATGATAAGAAAGAATAATTTATCAAAAGAAAACAAGTGAGAAAGAAAAAGCTAAGAATGAAAAAAGAACAAAAAGCCCAACATTATCTCGTGAACAATCGAAGACTTTGCTATGGGTCGGCTAGAGTTGTCTCCTAGCTATCATTTTTTTACTCTCATTAATTTTAATACAAATTAATAAACAAAATAAAGAAATTAAAAAAAAATTAAAAAAAAAATTAATTAATTTAAAAATAAGAAAAATTCAAATTGGTCAATTAGATTCATGGGAAAAATCTATCAATCAAACAACGATTTCACGGACTCATATATACTATGGACATAATAATCATTGCAATCAAAGATTCTATGCCCTCAAATTCATGATGATGAACAAAGCCAAAGCTACAATTTGGATTTAATGGCCCCCACAATTTTCATGGTTAGTAGGAGTAACAAGTTTCCTTACCTTGGATAATTCTCTCTATTTGTTTAATTGTAGGTGAGTTAGGGAACATCAACAAGATAATCGATAGTGGTAGTTGGTAGTTGAATTTATGTTGTTGGATTAAGATTGATTATGCTTATTAACCATACTATTATGATCTAATTATATCACTAAGCTAGCAAGCAATTTCGTTGATTTCGGGTATGTGTATCGCGTAATTATAGTTACAATGAGCAATAATTTCAATCCAAATTAATTATTATGGAGTATATGTATACTAAAATTTAATTGATTTTTGGAACTCATTTTATTATCATTTTAATGTATTATCATTTTAATGTATCATCACATAAGGGATTTAATTTAAACTTGTACTATGTACATGTTTGTCTTTCTCAGAGTGATGATGAAATGATGGAGTATTTGAATTAGTACTAGATTTATATAAGCATACATTGTAGCCATTATTAGCCTTTATTTGTTATTGTTCTCAGAGCTTATTCTCTTCATCATTTCAGTTCGGTTTAGTTCAGTTCAGTTTCTTGCCTAATTTTCTTCTCACATAAAATATTCATTTCACCTTAGTTCAATTCAGTTTGGTTTAGTTCAACTCCAATTAGTTCAGTTTCAATCATTTCAGTTCTGTAAATCAAAACAGGCTCTTACTACCTTATTCTGTTTGAAGAAAAGGCAAATTGTAATGAATTAACTTATTATGGTAGTTGTCAACTATTGATTGTTCATTTGTTCTTTTAATCTATTAGTAGTTAGTAACTAATTAACAAGTACAAACTTGCTAAATTAAGACATTTTCTTAATAAGTAGTAGAACAGAATTACGTTAATTTTATTGCAAGACGATCAATTTAAGGGGAGCTTTAACAGTTTTTATGTTAATTTTAACCCTGTTAACGGTAACTTTTAATTTGTATAAGTTTGATTGTATTTTAATGTGTATTTTCTAATAATACGTTCTTTAAAGGCTAATATGATTAATTTAATAAGGGTAAATACTTTGTTATAAAAATGACAACTTTAAATATTTTTAGGGTAACCAAACCCATCTTACAATAATTTGATGAAAGTCCGCCTAAATCAAGAATTTGTGTCATAAAATATATCACAAAAACGAATACTATAACGTACTGGCTATTATAAGTAAGCTAGTGAATGTCTTGAACAATCATTTAAGTGTAACATTATTTTATTTAGTGACCACGAAAACCATGGGTGATAAATAATTATATGGATATCAATTGTTGAAGAAATACATGGATTAAGACAAGGACAAGTAACAATTTTTCATTACTACCATAAAGGCCCCATATATTTGATGTAAAATGTTTTTATGAAAAATGATTGTTATGTACATTTTAACTAAAGCGTTGACGTAAAAATGAAATATTTGCATAAGAAGAGACTTAGTAGTAAAATTTTTCATGACACTTTTCGATGTATTGGTATGGATACTAGCTAAGTATATACTGTAATATATATACCTTATAAGCTAAACATTGGTATTCAAATTACTTGTTGAACATCATTGTATGAATTTTTGACACTAATAGTTATTCCAAAGGCAATGATTAAAAACCCTAGCTTGAAATTTTATTACTTAATTAGTAATTACGCATAGTGTTAGAAAATCTATAGCATTTCTACGACTATCACTTTCCATTGAATGTTAGCTTTGCTTTCTAATTTCGTGAATATGGCATGGTAAAAGTATGTTAGAAAAATGTAACTATGTGAGAGTTTTACTTTTTCTTTTGGTAATTTCTTCACTTGATGACCTATGACTTACATAAGCATGATTGTATTTATAGTCAAATCTATTATCATTAGACAGCAATTTTGACCCTATTTATTTTAATTTTCTTAAAATTATTTTTATAGCTATATCTGTATTTGAAATGTTTTTATTAATTGTTTTTTTAAAAACACAGTATACCTAAATAAAAGATGCCCAAAAAAAAAAAAATATGAGTATGAAACTATGAATCATTGCAATGCTTAATTTATACTCTATCCGTCCCATAATATTGTTTCTATTGTATTTTTAGATACTATGTAGAGATCATTATACCCTCATTTTTTAACTTTATTTATTGTAAATCAATGTACCCTTAAATTTTGCACATGTCTTGTACGGAGTACTTTTTTCCATTTTCTTTCTCTAACTTTGTTTATGATTGTACCTTTTACTTTTATTAATGTACATCATCCATCTACTTTCTCTTCTTATTTCTTAAATAACGTGGAAAAACACAAACAAAACTATACTCCGTATTATAGAACGGAGTTAATAGATTTTTACTGTTCATGTGATATGGAGTGTCCGAGTGGGGTTATAAATGAAAAAACCATTAAATGATAAACACACAAGTTTTGAGCCCATGTAATAAATGTTGGGCCAACTGTATATAATGGGAGGCCAATTTGCTCATTTATTGGGCTAGACACTCTCCGAAACATGGGCCATACATTATCATAGTAGTTACAAGTTACAACTAACAACATTAAAGGCCCAATTTATCCGAGAAGGCATATTCCATTTCAGCATTTCCTACTTCCTTGCAAAATATGAGCATATGCCAATATTCCATCTTTTGTTTAGAAAAATCTGATGTCTATTTCTTGATGATAACATGAAAACTTACTACAACTATCATCTTCAAAACACCTTCATCTTCCATCAAAATGAGAGAAAGAGAAGAAACTCGTTTCGAGTTTCACGACTTTGGAGTTAATTTCATCATGTTACTGGTAAGTCTTAGTTACAAGCTTGTTACACCTTTAATTTATGATTTATGTACCATTTTTGGTAGAAAATTATAGGATGCTCTTTTTTTTTAACCTTTTAATCTACGACGTACATAGTTGCATCATCTTTAGTCACGTATGTTTACGTGCGTTGTTGTGTTTTTGTTGAGAATTTGATAGAATGATGAATTGTTGAGTTTGGTTCAAGTCCTTTATATTGAATTTTTAGCTTTTAGAAGTTTAGAGTAATTTTTGGAACATTCTTTCAGAACATATATATCGTTGTTCTACCGACCATTCTTTCAGATGATGAGCTTGATGACCTAGATTTAACCTCAATATAACAAGTACTGTATACGTATTTGGAGCTAGCTTACCTATTGGGTTTAAGGTCTAATTTATTGGGCTAGCAGCCCAAACCCATTTAAGGAGAAGTTACTCATGGAAGGGTATATTTTGTTTTGTGAGGTTGTGCAATACATATGCAAATATGAAATTTTGACTGATAATAGTAGTTTTGGCTGATAATAAAACTAGTTTTTGGACCGGACGATGACCTGGGTAATTGTTTGTATATAAAAAACCATAACAAAGTTTAGTTCAATTCAGATTCAATCAGTTCATTTTCTAATTTCCTTCTCTTATAAACAATTCATTTAAACTCCAATCAGTTCAGTTAAGTTCAGCTCCAATCAGTTTAGCTTTGTTCAATAAATCAGGACATGTTCTGATTTACTGAACTGATTGTGATTGAATTGAACTGACCGAACTGATTTGAACTGAATTGTTTATGACTTATGAGGCAAGAAAATTAGAAACTCAACTGATTGGAGTTGAATTAAAATTAAATTAGAGAGAACCGATCCTTAAACAAATTTAATTTTATAAAAAAAAATAAAATAAAAAACCCCTTAGAAAAGACAACCCAAATGGCAAGCAATGAGTGCACCACATGTAGATCCGACGACCCCACAAAATATGCCATTTCTCTCTTGAATTCCATATGCCACTCCTTAAAATTCCACCCTCCCACGTGTCACACTCTCCCTCAAAAATCTCCCCTTTTAACGCCGTCACTCCCACCCTTCCTCTCCACTTCCCTTTCTCCGTCAAATCTAACTCCGTCAATTCACCCATTCCTCGTTTCTTTCACCCTCCAACATCCCACCCCCCTCCATACACCCTCACATTCTCCCATTCATCCTCCATTTCCTCTCTCCTCCTTTTCCTCTTCCGCCATTGAAGCAGCCATGTCCGACCTTCCCCAAGAACACCATGAATCCTTGATGGACAAGATTTCTGATAAGATTCACGGTCACCATGATTCCTCTTCGTCTTCTTCAGATGATGAAGGTCATGAAAAGAAGAAGAAATCCCCTGTTTCTTCTCCTTCTTCTGCTCATGTTCCTCCTCCTGATGTTCTTCCTGAGCCTGAGGTTTCTGCTGCTGTTCCTTCTTCTACTTCGTCTAAGATCTACCGCCTTTTTGGTCGCGAAAAGCCTGTTCATCAGGTTCTCGGTGGTGGCAAACGTCCGTTTCTCTCTCCTTTCTTTTGTTTCAGATTTTCTTTTCGATTGATTCAATTTATTAGGTTAAGTTTTAGTAAAGTATTGTATTTGCTATTGATTATTGATTGTTGATATGTTGTTTGATGTAATAAGAGGTGCAAAATGATTTTAATTTTATAACGAAATTAATTTAGTTGATGATGTAGGTTAAATACTTAATTTCATGAGCTTATGTAATTGATTTTGGTGTGGGATTGAGGGTTTAAATTAAAAATTAATTTCGTTTTATTGTTGAATTCCTGTTGTGTTTGCTATCTGTAGATTGGAATTTTGTCTGATTAGTGATTTAATGTAATGATAAATTCTTATTACAAAATTAATCGAATTTTCATTATAAAAATGAAGTGCTGTATTTGAAACTGTATCAGATTTTTCATTATAAAAATTATAAAAATCAAGTACTCGTATTTGGTTTGTGTGATTGAAAAAAGGTGTTGCAAAAAGTATGATGTGATTTTTGGGAAAATATAAGTATATTTTTTAATGATTTTGAGGAATTGTTGGAGTTAGATTACTTCTAGAGGATTGCTTAATAATATTGACTTTTTGTAAAAGGAAATTAATTTTTTTGCCTTTCTTTTTCACCTTTGTGATCGTGTTCATTTACTTGTTGTGTTGCCTTTTCGTGTACCAAATGCTGTAATCTTTTCGCACAACCAGTCTATTTCGAATACAGATTCTTTCAATACATGATCTTTAGTCATATCTTGTTGCAAAGATTTTATTGTGCACAATATTTGATGATTCCAGGGGATTGCGATGGGTCAACATATTGCATTAGTCTTTTGGAGGGTACTTACAGTAAGACATATTGACATGGTAGACGAATGAGAATTAGATGAGGAAGGCGGGGGGGTGAAAAGGAGTGTTGCCATGTTATAGTGAGATATGATTTGTGTTGTGGAGTCAATTCCTTGGTTCTGAATTATGTACCGTTGTTTAATTTTCATGACTATCGGGGTTATTTCTTGCTAGAGTACGCTTAGGAGATCATTACTTATTAATAACTACCAGAGGGTCCATTCTTAGATGTACATTGGGGTTATCCTTGATAATTAGGTACGATTTTGGGATGTATATGCTGATTGGAGGTATTCTAGGAGTAAATCCTTAAAGGACCGAGTCCACTTCTTAGGATGGGGTAGCCTTTTTTTTTAACCCCTTGTGAGGGTTGTTTGGGGAGTGGGTGTTCTCCGTTGTTGTTCTGTGTGGCTGTAACTTGATATGGCTTTAAGTGCTATTGGGGCGGATAATGCCTTTTTCCTGATTAGAAAGTGTGACTGGTAAAGTAGTTATAACCTGGAATGTTTACTTTCATGCGTTAAAGACCACGGAGCGATTGACAAGAGTTTTAGACAATCTTGCTCTAATATGTAGATGTCTATAACGTGGAATCTTTACTTTCATGTACTTCCTGTGAGTTTTTTTTTTTACTCCAACCTATGTTTAGCTGTTGTTCGCCTCTAACTTGGAATGATATGAACGTTCGTTTACAGCTGCTGATGTTTTCCTATGGAGGAACAAAAAGATTTCTGCCTCTGCACTTGGTGTAGCTACTGTTGTTTGGTCTGTTTTTGAGTTGCTTCAATATCACTTGCTGACCCTTCTCTGCCACATTTTGATATTTACCCTTTCGGTCCTTTTCCTCTGGTCAAAAGCATCTGCATTTCTCAACAAGTAAGTAGTGCGTACTATTACGCTTGTCCACCCTTGCTTTTATGATCTTCCTGCTTAATTTTGTTATCTTGTGTTGGCTAGGGCTCCTCCAAGTATTCCCGATGTTCATATTCCCGATAATGCTCTCAGAGAATTTATCTCAGTATTAAGATTTGAGATCAACCGAGCTCTTTCATTGTTACGGGACATTGCCTCTGGGAAAGAGCTTAAAAAATTCCTCGCAGTATGTATTTTAAGCTTTTCTTAATTTTTATGGGTTATGTGCATGGGGTATGATATTAAATATAGTTGTTCAGAGAAATCGGATATGATGGCATAAGCAACTGACAAAGTAACCTCAATTCACCTGGCAGCTTAATTGTCTTGTCCACATTGTTATGTGAGGGAATTCACGCTCTAATACAATATTGCTAAGTTTCCAAGATTGTTATGGAATACTTGTACATGTATTTTGTGCTTTTGAGTATTTATGCAATAGATACAGTCGTGTTTTCCATTCCTAATGGTGCCTAGCAATGCTTATTTCTTTTTCTAACAGCTTATTGTTTACATTTGAAACTGATTTGTTAACAGGTGGTAGCAGGCTTGTGGGTTCTGTCAATTGTAGGCAGTTGGTTCAACTTCCTGACTCTTGTTTACCTATGTAAGATACTTGGTTTGACAAACGTGATGATGTATAGTGGTGAATATACATTTTACTTGTTTCTCTAACTGGAGTGCGTTTGGTATTTGAATCAGTGTTTGTTCTGTTGCACACTGTACCTGTGCTCTATGAGAAGTATGAGGACCATGTAGATTCTTTCGCTGAGAAGGCATCAAAGGAGCTCAAGAGGCAGTATGCTGTAGCCGATGAGAAGTTCTTGAGTAAGATTCCAAGAGGGCCCTTGAAAGACAAGAAGGCTGCATGAGGAGATAAATTAGAGCTAGCTATGAGTCTATGACAAGGTTCACGCTGACATTTGCCCTGCTGCTGTTGTTTTTTGGGTAGAAGTTTCAACTCTTTATGTGGTTTAGGACCCCTTGTTAATTGTTTTTCGACGTATATGAGTTCATATTTGAAATGAACCAGGTGCTTTGTAAGATAGTTCCTAGTCCTGGAATCTGTTTAAACACCTATAGCTTCTAGTATTATATTCAGTACCTTGCAATATTGTAGGATGAAGTAGATGAAAAATAATGTAATTTTGTACTTTCATACCCTCGATTATGCCTTGCTTTCTGTCACTCCTTCAATCCTCTTGCATGAGCTGTGTTAAAGGAGTAATGTTGGTGAATAAATATCTAGTAAATTTTTGATCTTGTTAGAATAAAAGCTATCAGATTTGTGAGTGACATAATTTAGATAAGTCTGTTCGTTCACTATAATCTTCCAGGAGATTTTCCTTTGAAAAATTGAAACAATGATGTAATCCTAGACAATTTCTGTAATTTTCTAAAAACAGGGAGTTATTTGACGTCTTTCCAATATTTTGGTCTTTTCATCTTTTGGTCTCTGAAACTTTGATAATATTACATTCATTACAAGATATGGTGTTTGATAGACTTCCACAAATTTGACAAATTGTTTGGGTCACATTAGCATAAAACGTTATCCGTCCCAAACAGTGAGGGAAGTTGCTTACCCAGCCTTCTCTAAGTAAGACTTTCCATGGAAGTTCTATCTTACTATGGCCAATAAAACAGTTTTACTCACTTTCTAGAGCGCGGTATTTGCATTTTGTTACATTAGATATCTACTTCTATGACTTGATCTCGTTTTCCCTTTCACAAAATTTGGTAGTTCTCACAGTACACTTTGTTACCTGCTAGTCCTTCCCCTTAGAGTATTAGGAAGATGTGCAGACAAGGTTTGCATTCATAACTTGAAGCATGTCATTGAGCATGGTGGGTGCACATTGCAGCAAGGCGATCAAGGAACTGGAGTGAGAAGTTAGTCATGTAAATAAAGCACCAATTGACTCACTAATAGAGGCGTGAACAGATTGATAGTGTCACTGCTCTTAACACACCCCTTACGGAGCTTTAAATTTCATTCGAGGAAGACACTTCTGGAGTAGCATGGCCACAATTACTTCGGCCTTGAAGGAGATTTTCTTACTTTCCTGCTCAAGAGAGCGAACTTTTAAGGCACTTGATTTCAGGACTTTACATGTCCAGCCCAGGGTTCAGCACAGTGAAGCCTTCTTCTAGGGGTGCAAAAATATATTCCAGTGTAGAAAACTAGAAATCACTCTCCAGCAGGGAATTCGTAAAAAATCAGAATAGTGCTTGTATTTATTTCAGATTTGTTAGTTCTACAACCAATATACCCTACCTATTTCTATACAGCATATATTGGAGACAACAAAGAAGCTGGTCTCAAAGAGATATCATAATTTTTCAGCATGCTCCGCTTTTTTAATCAAGCACCCTTGGTGAATTAATGCATGATATATGCCCAGAACCTGTTACCAGGACCTTCATCTTCATCTGATTCGCTATCACTATCGTGTATCAACCACCAAATCTTCAAATCATCAAAAATGTATCTAACAATCTGCAATGAGGGGACAAAAAAAAGAAGTCAAGACCATGTACTTGTGTCAAAATGAGGCTATTAGCAGCAATTGGAGGGCAGCAAAGGCTATGGAGTTTTTTTTTTTTTTTTTTTTTATTGAGATGGCAGGGGATACATTATATATACAGCTGACCTTAAGTAATAATACAACGGTGCAATCAAGTATATAAGACAACTATTAAGTCGATAACTAGATCTCTTAGAAAGGGTGAGAAAGTGACCTGGCTAGGCGACATGGGCCTCAGCTGCTGTTGACTCAAGTGTTTCTTTGGGCATTTCAAGTTGCTAAGCCAAACAATTGAACTGCAGTGACAACAGTATCCTCTGTTATACTTGTATCTCCATGATGGAAGGCCTGGCAGTGGATAAAAAACACATCAATAAAGCCAGATAGACGACTTGGAAAAGGTGTCTACTATCACCTCCACATTGCATGTTGACGGCAAGGAGAAAACTGGCTTGACAAAGCAGTCTATTGAAAAGGCATACCAAATTGACAGTACAAAAAATTGAGGTCTGCAACCAGACTACCCCTCTCTTTGATTTCTCTGTGTTGCGTCAAAAGCGTCATCATCTTAGTTTTAAAAATAGTATATTTTTTTAATGGACAATGAATCTTGACTTCAAGTAATGTCTTTTAGAGGAAAAATAAATGTAGGAACCTTTGGAATACTAAAATTCAGAGGACATCTCATTAAGAAGGTGGGCATTTTATATGGGACATAAGAAATACTAGAAAGGAAATGTCAAAGCTAAAATACAACAATGCCAACAGGATATTGCTAAGCAATATTATCTCCCTTCGTCTCTAACAGTTCTTCCTATATTGAAGAACGGTGATTGTCTCCCAATAAAGTCAAAAATAAGAAGAACTTTTAGAGGAGGGAGAATTAAATGCAAAAGCATATTAATTTACGAATACGAAGTATTATATACGCACCCAAGTATGTTCTTCTAAAAGCATCTTTCCAGTCATAGTTTGCATCTTTAAAAACACCATTTGAAGCTGTATGTTGCCGACCATCAGCAGTAACACCACCTTGAAACCCCTCACCTTTCAAAATACTCTGGGAGTCACCAAAATGGCAGTTATAATGGAACTGCCAAAGATAGTTGTCAGTTGCTGCTGCATTCCATGACCTTCAAAAACAACAATGAACAAGTGCTATTGTAACATTCAAGAGTTGTACAACATTTCGAAGACTGAAGTTGCATGAAGCAAACAATATGAATATATGATATAACTCAAACACATAAATAAAAACTCCATCATTGGATTTTCCAAAAATCAATGGAAACTGCAAAGCAATTAAAAATGTAAAGCATGGCAAGGCATATTACCGGCACACCATACCAGCAGATACTATAGATGGCAGGTCCAGGAAATTGAAGAGATGTACAAGAACATCTTGAGGCAATTGGACAGGATCTGAAAGGTCATTTTTGTCATCAATATAGCTGTTCAAAATAAAATACATAAACAATGACAAGAGACCAAAGATATAAAGGGATATCTTGTTTCCTTGCTTCATACTTGTATTTTATATGACTTACACATTGTTTGGATTGAGAGAATTGGAGGGAAAGGAAGAGGAGAAAAAAGAAGGGAATTATCCTCCCTTCTTTGGATACCTTTTGATAGGAGGGAAGGGAAGGAAAATAGAAGGATTCATTTTCCCTCATTCTTTAAAAAAAACAAATCCTTCCGACGTTAGAAAGATTTAGAGGGAATATGTAACCTTACCTTCTCCTTCCCCTTCCTTATATTCTCCCCCTTCCCTTTCTCTTCCACTTTGCTATCCAAACAAACAGTTACACTAAGAAATAGGTCATAGTACCAATCTTGTGTCCTTGAGTGCTAGGATCACAACACTCCCATGATATTAGAAAAGAGTGCCTAGGAAAATAAACTGAATTTCTAATAGTTTGATTCCTTCCTATAACTTCTAGGTGGTTGTGTTAGCAAACTATCAGCAAAACAAATTTTACACTTATTGAGATAGCATTTAGATGCATTACAGCAATTGCCTAATTTTTTTCCTCTTCTTGATAAAGGATGTGAAATCTCAAGTGTTGTCATCATTCATCAACCTTGCCACTGCAGGCTAAGTTATGTGTTCACTGAAATTTAACTGCAATTTAAGGATACATTGACCAACTGACAGGAATCCTAGATCCTTTCATAGCAGAATTTTAAATGCTTTGATATTTAATTTAGACATTTGATCTCAGCAAATGCTACCTTTTTCTTCCAGTTGAGTTTTGGCACGTCTCTTGTAAGCAACCTTTGCTTGCTTGAATTCTGCAGCTGCTAGACTTCGTTTCTGCTTTGGCAAAGCAGCCTCCGCACTCTGGCTGAGAAGGTTAGCTGCTGAAACAGCACTTTGTGTCTGCATTCTAGTACAGAACTTAAAGTTATTGAAGGACTTCAGCTCATCAGGATGAACAAAACAATGCCAGGCTTAATAAAATTCATATCATCAAGAAACCAAAATGTTCGGTATTTAATCTCACTAATCCGAGTCTAAACATCAAGCTGTGTAATCCATGTAATCATCATTTGAATTTACAACCATCAGAAATTATTTCACAAATAATCACAACATTGTATTCAATGAACAATCAATATACTAAAAAAAGTTTAAACTTAATATTCCATTAAAAAAGACTAATTAGGTTCAAGGATAAAACAATAATGAATAAACCCACAACATCAAGCAAATCACATACAACAAAATTAATCAAACCCAGTTCAATTCACTGATAACCCAGTGTATATAGAGGGCAGCCAATCAATCAAAATTCAAACTTTAAATATTCATACAAAACCATAGATTTTATAGGATAAAGCCAAATAAACCCAATTCAATTCACCAACAACCCAGTTAATATACAGGAAGCAAGAAATCAATCAAAAATCAAAACTTTATACAATCATAAAAATTAAACCATAGTTTAAAAATCAAAATCAATGACAATAATAATAAAGTCAACATAATAGAAATTCAAATAAAAAAAAGGAGGAGGAAATTACTGAGGAAGGAGGCGAAAAGCGGCGATTGTATCTTCAAGAAGAAGAGACTGAAGTGGTTTAGGGGATTTGGCGTAAGCTGATCGAAGAATACCAGCAAGCTCTGTGCAAGCAATTGGGTAGCGGTATGAGAGAGTAAGTGATTTTCGCAATTCCAATTTTTGGTATCTTCGTAATGCTCCCGACATTTTTGGTGTTTGTAATTTGATGGGTAAAGATCAAAATCAAAACTTTTTAAAGAAAGCAGAGATTAGGGTTCATGTTAGTCTTTGAATTTAATAGATTTTCCATTGAAAGGAATTTGTGGGAGGAGAGAGAGATTGGAGATTAAAAGAAGTGGAATTAAGGAGAGATTGCCTAATTGGTGGGGAATTTCCAATGTTTTTGGCGGTGGTGGTTGAGGTGGGTGTTTGGTTCTCCCCTTCCCACTTTCTACCCAAAGGAAGGGAGGAGAAGGGGAAAAAAAAGTGTAAACAAAACTGGCAAGAGTTTGAAGAAAAAAAAAAATTTATGGCCAATTTTTTTTTGTTTTTTTAAAATACACGTGTTACGTATATACCATGCGTTACTACGGATACACTTTAGTTTGTTTCAAATTGTTTAGCTCAATTGGTTCTGTTTATTATTACAGATTTGTAACCCGACCTGTTATTAACACGACCCAAACCCGATAAGAAATATGAACCGACGTGACCCGACTAGAGCATGACCCAACACAAACCCGACCCGCA